AGATGTCAGGAGATGTTTTTCTGTGACAAAAAACAAAGATATTTAGTTTACTATGACAACAAAGCATTAATAGCCAATAATGTTCTGTATTTATGTTTGAAAACTTGTGTGTATAACTAAGTAATTGACTAATCAGGCTGTAAATCCAGATTTCTCTTTGTCACATTGCAGTGATTCTCTCTATTAAGATTTCCCATTTAGTAGCTTTTGTGTGCTTCTAAATTATAATCTCAGCTGCACAAGCTTTACAGTAAAAGTTGTAGCAGCATCAGACACGCCTACAACATGCACAACCCCATTGAGAAATACCTCACAGAGGGCAGATGGAAAGGCAGCGTACAGTTGATGCAGATTTTGGATGGTAGATTGAGTTGTGAATATCTGTGCTACTTTTAGTCGCTGGACACCACTCTCATGTTTCCCTGCGTTTGCCAGACCCCTGTCTGTGTTCCGATGAACCTGGTGCCAGGGCTTATGTATAAGCAGTTCCCACGCTTGCTCTTGGAAAAGAGTCCTGTGTGATTCAGAATGATCCTTTCAATGATACATTAAGCACCATTGGACTTACTTGCTGGACTTACTGGGGTAGTTGTGCACAAAGAAAGCGTAATATAGCTGGTTAATATCCTAAATTATTTATTTAGTTAATTGCATTCAAAAGTAGCATTTTGTTTTTCATTTCTTTGCTCACATCTCCAGCTCCTGATATTCAGGTCTTCTCCTCTTTAAGCCCTCGAGGCCGCTCCTCCAGGCTTTGATGCCCACACTCTTTGACGCAGGTGGACAGACACAGGCATGAGTAACAGTGGGACCAAAGAGCCGTCTCCCCAGCCGAGCACCGCCCAGTCACCTCCTGAGCCTCAGCGCAGGGGCAGGGGTCGGCCACGGAAACAGCAGCAGGTAAGACTTCAGTCTTTCAGAGATGAATCAGCTCTGTCCTTAAATCATTAAGTATTTAACAGAAAAACATCAAATTAATTCTGAAAAACCAAGCTAGTTGATTATGCGTATCCTGGCTGTAGAAAACATACAAACAAATGTTTTTCACTAGTCAGTTATGGTCCCATGTTTGGTCTTTTTCTACAGGAGCCTGTTGGACCACCAACTCCAAAGCGGCCGAGAGGAAGACCGAAAGGCAGCAAAAACAAAGGCCCCAGAACTGCACTGAAGGTTGAGTATCAAAGATATTAAACATTTATATGATCTTTAATATCATAATTGTAACAGCAGCTTGTTTCTGCCCTATAGCGCAACAATCTACTTTTTGGACACTATATTTATACATTTTTGATAAATTTACCAGAAATGAAGTATCCTAAAATTAGAAAATATTAAGATAGAAGTATATATCATGAGTGAATTTGGATGTGTTTGTGACGTCTTACTTTAGTAGAAATTACCATGATCTTGATCAGTACAGGATAAATAAACCAGTAACAGACAACATATTTGTGTTATGACTAATGACAGTATACATGTTTATAACATACTGTATATGATCTTAATAGGTTTATCTTTCCTATGCATCTGCATTAGATGCATCTGAGAGTTTTATATGTAATACATCCTTTAATGTTAAGATTTATGTATTTTTGTAGGATGCTATAAGACAATTAACAGTCATCATGAGGGCAAATGTCAGCTAAACACAGAGAAAAGACAAGCTGGTCTTAAATCAGTGCAGTATTTATGTCTCACGCTGCAGGCTGTGGGTCAGTGCTCAAAGATAGACTGGTCAGTGCAGGGGGAGGAATTATTCTGAGGAATTAAAGATTGTCTTACAGAGAAGTGTCTGTCACTATATGTTTCCGCTGTCTGCTTTTAAATGTAAACGCTATACTTCGGACGGAAATTTCTCCTCTACAATTATCTGACAGATATAGTTACTGGTTACTTTGCAGTTTACCGTTTTACACACAACATGTTCTCATCTTCTCATATATCATATAGTATATGAACAGTATATAGTAGAAATTACACATAAATAGTACAATATCGTACTGCTACTTTTACTTAAGTAAAGGATCTCAGTAATTCTTCTGTCACTGTGCTCAAAGTGCCAATAACAACGATTAAAGATCGTTATTATTATCAATTGGATCTGATTTTCAATCAGTTTCTCTTAAACTTTTCTTTGTTGTTAACTGAACCATTAAAAACTGAAAACTGTATTTGTCAATTTTGTGTCCCATCATTTCTTAATGACAGATATTAAATATAGCTGTACTGTATACTTGTGCAAACATTCACTAATATCTATGATTGTCAGCAAGGTTGCTGTTTGCATTGTTATTAGATTTGGTATGATAAGAAAAATAGAGATACTAAAATTTGAGGCTTTTCAGAAACGTGTTGCACCAGAAGGGAAGATTGTTGTACTGCCCCTGCTGGCAACTTTCCATTAAAATCAGTAGATTTATATAGTAGTAGATGCCAGTGCATATGTAGAATGTAGTAGTTGTTTAACACCATAGATCAACTACTATTGTAGTACTATTGTATGTGGAAAAATCTTTTCTGGTTTTGTTGGAAGAAACACAGAAGAAACCTTTTTTAGCTTTATCACTATACTGGAGAAACAATTATTGTGAGGCAACTTGTTAAAACAAGGTAGAGCAAAATATTTAATGTATGAGCCTGCTATTAGCCAATGACACAAATACGTTGTTTGTCATTTCAATCGCATATAAAAGCAAATTGTGCCATAAATATGTGGTATTTTACTATTTGATTGTTTAAAGGTGTAATATGTAGGAATTCAAATTATCAAAAGATTGGGAAAAAATAATAGTTTTAACATCATATCAAAGTCCTGTCTCATAAAACCACTTTGTACCTTAAGAGCTGATAGCAGATAGCCTATAGCTGCTGGATGTGTGCAAGTGGTGAGTTCACTGTGTTACACAAGCTTTCTTAGTTTTTTGTCTAATAAATAAACAACATAAACTCACAAAATGTCAAGAAAGGAAATATTCTTACACCTATTGTCCTTATTAAACAGAAAAATACAACCATACACCTTCTGAATTCAAGTTTCTCTTTTACAGACCTAAGATTACCTTATGCCTTCTTAACCGGTTGTAAAACACAATTGACATAAACATAATAAAATTTACCAAAACCGTCTTGGTTTGTCTTTCCACTGTTCCGACAATTACCAACTCTGCTTTGGTTGAAATAAATCCTTAATTCACAGTCGGGCTGTCCTCCAAGAGCTGAATATACTGTTAGTTGATGAGAGGAGTATTAGTCGACGCAGTTTTCATTAGTTGAACATTCACCGAAAAACTGTACTTTGTCACCAGGACGAAGGTATCGTTGCAACACGGACCCTTTATCTTGTAACACAGTACCACTGCTTGTGCTAACTGTATGAGCTGCTGCCACTAGCTACTTAACAGTCCTATTAGCTGACTGTACCTGGTACCGGGGGAGGTTTGTTTACATACTGGAATAAGAGCTTTGGACTGCCGGGAGGGGAGCAGGGCCGTAATGAGCAATATAGAATAGAGGAAGAATGGGGAGAGCCAGTAACATCCTCCTCACCCTCCCAGTGACCGCGGCCAGGACTGAACACATCCTCCGACACCATCGGAGGCCAGGCGATTTACAGTGGCTCCAACCAGGACTAGACACAACGGGTTCAGTTGGACACAGGAGAGGCATAAAGAGAGCCGAGGGAGTTTGCAGCAAGCTGATCGATGTTGTTATATTAACATTACTTATATATACCGCTTTTTCCATTAACATTTAACAGGCGGCTGTTAAAATGTTTTTAAATAATTCAATTTCTTTAATTAACTATTGGCTTTAACTAACGACTACATGTCGACTAAGAGAATCTTTAGTCAGGGACCGACCTAATTCACAAAGTTTGATGTGAAAAATATTCTGGCTCTACAAGCTGTCGCTGCCTTCTGACATCTGACTCTCCACTCGCTACTCTCCCGCTTCACAACTCTGCTGTCCCCGCGAACCGGCCATGTCTTTGTCATCCCCAGAGTCGGAGTCCTGGTTGGAGCCACAGAAATCACCTCAGTATTGTGTTCCCTGTCATCAAACTTACAGTTCAGTCCCAGCCCAACCGTGTTCACTGGGAGGCTGCTGAGCCCGGTTTCGCCACCATTCCCCACTGGGTCTGAAACCTTCCTCCTTCTGGCGGTCCTTAGCTCCTGTGTTAGTGGTGTAAACAACAACAATCCCCTGGTGCTCTGAACTCCCAGTCCGGGAGTCAGCTCATAGACATACATACAGTATATTGTATACAGAAAACTAACTGCACCTCTAACTGAGCTAACTAGCTAACAGTTAGCAGCAGTTAGTGGCCTCCCATTAGTTTGAAGTATGAATTCGACAGGTGGCCAGTTCTTACATAATGCACCTTTTTAAAGTCATTTTAGTCTACTTTACTTGGCTGTGAGAGTTATTTATGTTGAGATTAACACAGTGTAAAAACTGATGTGTGTGCATCATCATGTGCAGGATTTTATTGAATATACAGCTTTGCAGACACTGAACGTGTTGACATTTTGAGGGATGATTCAGAGAAAATACATTTCTGTCCCTGTTTATCAGGGAAAAAAAGTTTTATGACATACAACTTGCTTGTAAAATACTGACAAATATAATTTTAGTTATTATTATTACTTGAGTTTATTGAACAAAACTTCTGTAGCTCCTGGGAGAAATCTTCCTCACTGACCTGCAGAAGCTTTAGCATTTAAAAATGGCTCCTGCAAAAGTCTGCAAAAACTATAATACTCAAATGGAAACTTACGCTAGTTAGTTAGTGATCATAGGATTAAAATCTGAAACCTCCCTTTAACCATTCATCTGTTCTTTCTCAGAAAGTAGAGCCTGTTGGGGAGAGACGACCACGTGGGCGACCAAGGAAATGGGTATGGAGCAATCGTTAGAGACATTTTAGAGACATCATGAAGTTAAATGTAAATGTATGTCCAAAGCCTCCAAAGTGTCTGCTGCAGCTGTACAGTGAGGGGCGGCTTTTCCTTCATGTTTGATTAACGGTCTTCTCTCTCTGTCCACAGCCCCAGAAAGTAGTTCAAGAAGCAACTGAAGAGCAGCAGGTGAGGAAAACGAAATATTTCAAAGCTAGCAGGGTGGTCCAGTTTTGTGTTGATGTAGTACCTTAAGCCACAGATTTCCTGGACTGAAAAGCTATTGTGATTTAATTTTAAATGGCTCTTAAAATGACTGAAACAAGGTCTGTTTTTAAGATAAGCCATTTCAAGACATTTCATGTTAAGCTCTATGAAATAACTTTCACAGCAATGTTCACAAATTTAATTTATAACAAACTGCTTATAAATTGAGCAACAGGTTTGTTGCAGAGTATTAAAATCATTACAAGCATTAAATCCTTTCAGTCTTTTAAGCATTTCTCTTCAATTTCATACTTTTCCACTGCAGATTTACAGAATTCTTTTTAAATATAGTTTGTTTTTTTATGAGTTAGTGTTGCATCAACCTGAAGTTAGGTTCCTGGCTATAGAAGAATGAAACCTCTGCTTCAGTTGAACAGAAATCTCATTTTGTGTCACACTTTTACCTGTTGACTAATATCAGTTACATTTATGATGTAGGACTAGCAATGCTGATTTGCAGAGATCACCTCATTTAACTATTCATGAATGTCATAAGCTTGTTAAGCACATAGTTTATGTTCAGCTTTTATTAGTAGTATTTATTCTTTGTTGTTTCTGGTGCGCTTTAATGTAAAATGAAACTAGTCTAAATAACATAACCACAATTCCAACAAAGAGAAACAAAGAAAAAACCTCTTTCCTCAGGCTATCAGGATGGTGCACTCTGACCTCTGTATATCCTCAGTCTGTAGCACAGTCTACAGTGAATCCTGTGCCTGGCACATTGCATATTTGCACATATTACCCTACTTTTGCATATGTTTATTAGTTGACCTTTAATTTTTATCCTTTAGATTTTTTGTTTTGCTCCTTATTTTTTATACTTTTAGCACAACCTGAAAAACGCACCATACTGCATTTCAGCACATGTACTACTGTGCATATACTTGTGTATGTGAGAAATACACCTTTGGATCCTAGTACACCATGTATTATCAGACAAATATAAATCTGCTCAAATTGCTGTGCTTTGGCACATTTGGTTTAAATAGCAACAGATCCAAAGCACATACTCCTTGTGCTTCACTTAAACTGCCTTTATGAGGATATGACGAGTTCCTGGAAAAGCACAGATGGCGGTACTGAATTCCCCTGATACACCTCCATACATCCTTTCGTGACATCCAGTTTGGTTGAATATACGACCAATGTTTCTGAGAATCTTTGTTTCTTGTAGCCATCTTGTACAGTTTTCAAACGACAACATTGCACAACTGTTGTCACCAAAGCAGGCAGGTCTCTTGATGCCCCTCATCTGCCTTATCGCATCCTCTGCACCGATGCTTCAAGAACTGAAACCGTTGAGACAGACTCCCTTTCTCAGACGCACGCACCCGAAGGGGAAGAATGAGTCAATGTAGAGAGGGGAAACCTGATCTAACTGTTCTCTTCCTCTGTCTTGGTTTCCTGACATAACCGTCGTCTTCCTCACATTTCTAGCTCTGACAGCTGGACCTACTTCCACGCACGCAATCACGCAGCGAAAAATTAACACTCATTCTTGTATTCTCATGCTTTTTCTAGTATTGATTCATTACTGCGTGCACAATGACTCACTAAGCTGAAAGCGACCAGACAGTAACAGACAAAGTGACAGTGGTTTTGGTCCTCTGCTGTTCCAGGGCCCTTCAGAAGAGGCTGAGGAGGGTCCCTCGCAGCTTGAGCCTTCTACATCTCAGGTCCCAGCGGAGGAGGAAGGGGAGTAGATAGGATGCCTCTCTACCTACCTCAAGGTTTGGCCTCAGACAAACAGGGGTACAGTCTGACTCCTATCTGTGATGGGGATTCAGGAACACACACACTCACACACACAAAATCATTGCATACGGTGGTTTCTTCTCCTCATCCGATACTGTACCCTGGTTTTGTTGGTTCACTATAAGAGTTTGGTGAACAAACTCTGTTTTAACATGGATGGATTTGATCTTTGGATATGGCTTTTGTTAAAGGAGTAGTTCCACATTTTGGCCAACACCCTTTCCTCACTTTCCTGCCCGAGAGTTCATTCAGAAGCTTGATACCACTCTACGGTAAATTAAGCTTCTGCCAACAACTGATGAGCTTAGCTTAGCACAAAGAGTTGAAACAGACAGAAAGAGCTAGCCTAGCTCTGTCTAAAGGGAACAAAGTGTGCTTACCATTACCATCTAAAGCTCATTATCTAACATCTTATATCTCGTTTGTTTAATCCATAAATAAACCAAAGTGTAGAAATTACATTTTTTTATGTTTTTACAGGGGTCATGTGCCTTTTGAGTTTACTAGTAGGTGGGTTTGTTATACCTTTTGGCAGAGCTAGGCTGTTTCCAGTCTTTATGCTAAGCTAAGCTAAGCTAATCCTTTTTCAATTCAATTAATTCTAGGCAAGAAAGCCAAGAAGCGTATTTCCCAAAATGTCCAACTATTCCTTTTAAGGATTCTTGCTTTCCTGTCCCTCCCAGTGTGTGTGTGTGCGAGTGTATGTGTGTGTGAGTGTGAGTGTGTGTGGTGGTTGTGTGGAGAGGGGGGCAGGGTTGCGGGCTAAAATGAGAGGGGGGTTTCAAGAAAAAAAAGGAACCAAACTAAACCGTTTTATTGAAACATGTTTCTAAATCAAGTGCCATGAATCCTCATATGAAACGGGAGCAAGACGGTGACATTTTTACCAATGTTACAATATAAACATGGTGCTCTGAAGTCATTATTATGAAAGTAGACGTGAAAGGTTTTAGCCCAAAATGAAATATCCAATTTGGGGAGGGGAGAAATGTCTTATTACGTTCATTGTTCAGAGTAAAAAATACATTGCAAATGTCAATGTAAGCAAGAGTACAGTATTCAAGTTAATAACCTCAGTGAACACCGTTTTTTTCTTCCCCCTTCCAACCAGCAGCTGTTTTAAGAAAAAAAACACCCAAAGGTTTTAAATGGATGTTTCATTTTGGGTAGAAATCCTTCATATATACTTCAGTCAACAACAGCGTTGACGTGTCATTTTACCACACTCAGGATTTTACTATTACCGTGCTTTTACACCATATTGAAACCTCAGGTACAAAACTATTCAGGAACATGTTGTCAGTCTACTCAGTAATAATTATTGTGCTGTGTTTGTTGTGCATTTCTGATCTGTATTTGACATTACCAGTATGCCTTGACACAAAGACCTCATTTAAACCTCACTTGCTCTCAGTTTCTTAATCTCTCATTCTACCTCAGTAACACAAAAGACAGACGATCTCCAACAAAGTGATTCTCAACTCCCTCAACAGCAACGACACACATTTGCTGTATACACACACACACACACACACACACACACACACACAAACAAACACATACACACACACACACACACACACACACACACACACAGAGATAGAGAGACACGTACACACATACAAACAGGTTCATGTGCAGATATACAACACAGACAGGCAAAGGGTTTTCAAGACCTACATACCAACACACAGAAGCAACTAGTACACTCCTACAGAGGATTTTACTATCGGTGTACAAATAAAAGCATCATTTCTTTAAAAAAAAAAAAATTTTGTTAAAAGCTGAAAAGAGACTTGGTTTGTTCTCCTGGGAAATAAAATGCAGCCAATAGTTTACAACAACTTGATAAAATAATTGCTTTTTAGGGTATAGTTCCTTATGAAATACTTGTTTTTTTTTTTGGGTCGCTTACTCTTTTCTCATTTTTACTACATCATGTATTTTCTGATTCTTACACTGTAAATTGTATGTGTGACACTCTTAATTCATGTGATTTGAAAGGAAGGGCAGCAAATAACAACACGGTGCTGAAATACATTATGATTATGGAAAACAACAACAACAATCACCACAGTTGCCTTGTATGAAAATTGCCAAATAAATTGTGGGGGATTCATTAATACTAAACGCTGCATCAATAGCCCTGCCTTTGTTTGGCCAATTTTTAATAGAAAAATTACCTAAGTTGTTCCTTTCCTTCCTAATTGGCTATTAAAAGCAAGAGTATAACCTTGCCGCAATGTGACAATAATGTGTAAATGCAAAAACTATAATGTAACAGAAGCACAAGTAGAGTCAGCAAAAGTAACACTGTTTATTAAGGAACATCTATCTAAAGATTGTGTTACTGTTCATACCAGACCAAGTGAGGCTGTAGCAGGAAAACCCCTGATTTTCATTTGTTGTTGCAGAAGTTACATGGTCTTGCTTTGAAGGGTCAGTCCACCCAAATTACAAAAAAGAAACATACAGTATTTAACATTAGTGGTATCCAGCCATGCAGATAGATTTGGCTTTATTTGGCCAGGTTTTAAAATATCTGTTCCTTCTTCTGGCACTTCAATGCAAGGGAAATTTTATTGGGATTTTGTTTGTGGTCGGACATTATTGTGCTCATGGTGTGAAAAGAGAAACAAAACTATCTGCATGATAAGATAACACTAGAGGTTAAGTATGTAAACATGTTTGTAATTTGGGAGAACGCACATTTTAGGGTTAACTCATTAAAAAAAGTTGTACATTTTATCTGTAATAATTCAGTAACAATTTACTTGTCATACACCTGTAGGATGCTGTTGGTATTTTGGAGGACCATGTATCTCTAGATTACCAAATTATTTTGTTCTAAAAATCAAAGGTTTCTAGCCTCCAGTCTGTTTTTACAGAAATATATTTTGATACCTTGTTGGACAGGATTTCTGCATTTAAACTGACAGCCTGTTGCAATTGCTTCTGCTGTCATCCTGCGTGGTAGACATTTATCCAACTACATATCACTTACTGGTCGTCCATTACATGACTTGAATATTACCCATTATTTACTGTATATATCAAGTGTTCTTTCCACCTAAAACTTGCTTATTTTATCACTGATTACATGTTGTATCCCAGTAATTTTATGTATTTCAGCACTGTTGACTAAATTGCTGCCAGAGAAGCTTAATTCATTTACAGACAGGTATGTTTTCATGTTCAACTGCATTGACTTTACTTTTTTTGCCCTCTGGACTACCTCTGAAAACTAACAAGCCTGGGAAATCTCTGAGGAAGTTGTTGGTTAGTCGTACCTAACCTTTTTCCATCAGACCCTGCAGGCGATGTGGATCATGAAATCTTGAAATAACTGTCAAACTAGTACTGTTGTAGTCCACTCATCTCATCTCACTACATTCATATCACCATAATGAATGGAAGTCAGCCTGAAGGGTGCCTGTTAATTTAACTACAGCTAAGTCAATGTTTGTTATTTTACACAAGCTGTGTCTGGATATTTACTCTCTATATGGGGAAAATGTAGTTCTGTGATCTTACTAATAGTGATATAGTTACATACAGTACTTGATCCATTTTCAACTATTGAAAAGTTGAAGTGTAACTTGAGAAATCATCTTTTATCCCTTACTTTTAACACCATTTTGTAGTTATGTTATTGATGTGTCCTCATCCACTTCATTAATACAACTCACAAACCTGTGATATATATTTTGTTATGATTCTTTACCATGTGATTTGTGTTATCCTGCTTCTTTATTGCTTATCAATAAAATATCACACGTATCAACTCTCCTTTGATATAGATTTGTACAACAAAACCCCTTTTTTCAAATTGGTTTAAATAGTTTTAATGTATACAGATGGAAACAGTCCTTCATTGGTCAATAAAGAAGAAACAAAATAAGGGGACAGTTTACTCAAGAATGGTAACACATCCAGTGTTCAAGCTCTTCAAAGATGCAAGACCACAAAATAAGTATAACACAAATTTACATTTCTCTCTTATCAAATGTGGAAGTAGATATTGAAGCTCGGAAGAACTTCACTGACAAGCTACCAAACATTTTAACAGCAATGACACAACATGATTCAAGAAAAGTGCATCACACTGCATTTGTGCGACAAACAGTGCAAGATCATATGTGATGCATCCCTTTAAACTCCCTTATTGTACATGCACCCTACATTTTTTCCCCCTATAATCCACTGCCATTCCACGCAATCGTGGTGGTAATGAAAACGTTCACAAAAGCTCCAGTTGTTCACAAAAACAGTCAAGTTGTCCCTTTGTTTTCCTTCCTGAGCGACAGTCTGTGTGTCGATGAGGCCAGTGGCCCCGCAAACTAATATCAACTAATGGAAGAAAGCCGCTAAGCGTTGAGAGCTTTGGCTACATCTGTGAAGACCAGACGACTGGGCCTCTGTGTGGTCCCCTGGGAGGTTGTGAGAGTCTGCAGAGGAGATAAAACTGTTAGTGACATTAAGAGCACATGGTTACTCCAGCTTTGAACAGCTATAACAGTTAGTTCTCAGAGTATAATATTATGTTTTGTTAGATTTCAGGACCACCAAAGCAGCTAAATCAACTCAATATTTTAGGATTAGAATGTGATTTCTTAAACCAGAGAAATTGTCTGAAAACATACAGTATACAAACAGATCAGGGTATGTAGAAAGTTCAATTTGTAAAAATGACAAAGGAAAATCTATTAAAAATGCCAACAGGCATTATTCTCAATGCAATGCTCATTAGAAACAAAAACTTAGCTATTTAGTGGGTTTGCAACTGCATTTAATCTATTTCATGAACAAATCAAGTTTACTCAGTTGTCATGGGGTTGGTTCAGTTGACATTTGTGAGCTGCAGATGAAAGCTATGGACAAAGATAGTACGTGGGCCTTGAGCTTGAGATTTTGAGTTCATGTTATAAAACCTTTGGCTACTGAACAAAAATCGATTGAGTACCATATAAAATAAATAAAACTGCACTTTTTTTTTTTTCTTTTCTTTTTCTTTACCAGCACTTCTCAGCATATTACTGACTGTTCTCCTCTGGAAGTCTTTAATGTGTGATGCTGTTTAGTACACACATCAAATTGGATTTGGTACTTGGCCTGTGAAATATTTGATTTTTAAAGTATCAAGTTGAGGGAGCAGAAAGGAAAGGATGAAAGATAATAAGGATGAAGGTTTGAAGTTAAAGTGTGTTAATGCGTCTTCTGTTAGCACATACTTTAATATATACCGATCAGCCATAACATTATGACCACTGACAGGTGAAGTAAATAACACTGATTATCTCGTTATCATGGCACCTGTCAGTGGGAGGGATATATCAGACAGCAAGTGAAGATTTTGTCCTCAAAGTTGATGTGTTAGAAACGGGAAAAATGGGCAGTGTGAGGATTTGAGCTTTGACAAGGGCCAATTTGTGATGGCTAGACGACTGGGTCAGAGCATCTCCATAACTGCAGCTTTTGTGGGGTGTTCCCGGTCTGCAGAGGTCAGTAACTATCAAAGATGGTCCAAGGAAGGAAAAGAGGTGAACCAGAGACAGGGTCATGGGCGTCCAAGGCTCATTGATGCACGTGGGGAGTGAAGGCTGGCCCGTGTGGTCCGATCCAACAGACGAGCTACTGTAGCTCAAACTGCTGAAAGAGTTAATGCTGGGTCTGATAGAAAGGTGTCAGAACACACAGTGCATCACAGTTTGTCACGTACGGGGCTGCGTAACATAATGACCACCAGCGTGCCCAGGTGGTCATAATGTTATTGCTGATCGGTGTAGATTAGTAAATATAAAATTAATTGATCTAAAAATTATTTACAAACATCTAACCGGGTTTTTGTTTGAGATACTGAAATAATGATAGCATGAAAGAATAAGGATTGCGGAGGAAAAAAGAGGGATGAGAGAGATGGTTCAAAAGCCACACAGGTGATACTTTACCATGTTTGCCTTTTACCATTATGCCATTGTCAAAACTTAAAAGAAATAAAACAAAATAAAGACAAATTATGACAGTTACTGAATAACAGCTATTAATGGAACAAAATAAGTGTAGATTATCTATCAGTAGCCTAAAGTTAAGCATAGATGTAGAGTGATATGGCAAAAATAGAAACTTTATCATAATAACAAAATATACAAACAGACTTTATTAAATTTACAGCTAAAACAAGCCACCTGAAACACTTTCATCCACTAAACTGGGGCATCAGAAATTATCTGAAGAATGTCACATCATACTTTTATACTTTGATGAAAGTTTGATGGGAAAGATTGTCTAAGCCACTGCTCAGGAATATGAAATATGGGTGTCGTAGCTTCTGTGGTCATCAAACCATTCAATACTTGTGGTCGGAATGAGAGCTTTTCATTCTAGATATGTGAGGACCATCTTACCTTGGCATTGGGACCTGTGAGGCTGCCTTCCCGGCCGTGGTCCAATAGTTCCTGTTCCAGCAGGTCATCTTGTTCTTCAGCCGGGTCAAAGTTGTACATGGGCATGAGCTGGTGCCTCAGCTTCTCCAACCTGCATGATGAGAGTTAAGTGGTGAAGACCAGTAGGCAAAGATTTGGTGGCCCATACCAACCCTCCACCTACCGCCCGCTGTGCAATGTACGTACACTATATATACACTGCTGTCTCCAAGTTCCCTATTAATTCCAGTGCAACCAGTACTTAATTTGTGTCCGTTTGTTTGGGAATATATGTACCATGTGGACACATTATGAACTAAGATAATATAGCTTTTTAAACAAATTTTACAAGACACATCCACAAAATATCACAGTGCTACAGGAATGACTTCAGTTGACATTATATGTTATTGATGCAAATTCTGTCACAAATTTGACAACTAAAACTAATTGACGTCTAGTAAACCTGCAGCTTCTGGGGCTTTTTCTATCTGTGAGATGAGCAAATCAAATCTTTATAAACTTACCGCTTCCGTTTCCGAATATACAGCATCTAGGATGAAGAACATTTATGATGAGAAAGAAAAACAAGTAAAGTTATTTATAGAAGGGACTTTTCTGTGTCAAGACAAATATACATAAATTGAAACATGATATTGAGAAGACAAGGAAGACATTCCAGTTCATTGGGGGAAAAAAAATAAATTTCTACTGAATCAAATTCCTTACAATTGCCACTGCTAAGCCAATGACAGTGATGATGCCAAAGGGTACAAGCACCATTCCCATCCCTGAGCCCTCGATCACCGCCTCCGGAAACGTGGTGGCATTGAAGCTGGTCTCGTTTGTTGTTATAGTAACAGTCATTAATGTTGTTCTAGAGGTGACATTGTCTCTGGTGCCCGAGGTCGTCGAGAGGAAGGGTATCGCGGTGGTCGTAGCAGATGTGGAGAGTAAACTTGTAGTTGTCTTAGCTGCAGTTACAGCCATGGTCAGGTGTAACTGTTTCAACTGAAGGATGTATTTACAATCTCAGCGTGGATGTTGTTGCGTCGCTCAGCGTGTGGTGTGTCTCATGGTCGACACAGGTTCCCTGTGGTTTGAGGTCGGCTGAGGCATTGATGATGCTTTGGCCATATGATCTGGAGAATTCAACCTAAAATAAAAAGGTAAAGCTGTCTGTGATTAATGTTTAACCATATAGGACAAAATGCAATGTGGTGAATGTAAATAAAGGTGAGGTGATCCTTTAAATCTTTAAATAAATTGCTAAAATATAATTTCCATTTTGCTTCTGTGCACTTATTATTTAATGAAATCTTTGTTTAAAAAAAAGATTCAAACATGTCAGTTTTGGCACACCCCACCTTTGTTTTCATTCAAACCACGGCTGATTGTGCCAGCAGAGTGGTAGGTGTTTCAGGGCAGGATGTGGGTAGAAAAAGGCACAGGAGGAAAGTGGCATAACAAACTTGATAAAATACCAAGGAATACTAACCACTCAAACTGAAATCTGCACGGTGAGGAAATATGTTGGCAGCACGTTAAAAACGTCACCCCCAACACACACACACACACACACACACACACACACACACACACACACACACACACACACACACACACACACACACACACACACACACACACACACACACACACACACACACACAGCTTCCATAAATATCCACTACATCCAAGACTCTGTACATGTACCTCCCACACACACACACACACACACACACACACACACACACACACACTGTACACATCCCATGAGCGTGAAGAGCAATTTATCTTGAAGATCTAAATATATGAAGAGTTTTAAAACATGAACATGCTTTTCATTTTAAAGCAGTGTTACATGCTGACACAGGAAGGCAGTGAAAATAGACACATGATCCATTCCTCTCCCCTTAGTGCATCCTGTCTGCTTGTACTTTTAATGAGGAACATGTGCAGCTGAAGCAAACAACCAATGAAAACCAAAGGCTAGGATTCAGTCATTGCTGTTTGTCTGGTTAACAATCCCTGCACTGCAACAAAGACAGAGCCTGCAAACACTTGACATCTTTGTTTGAATCATGTTTTGGTCTTATTACTGTGTGTGACTGATACATAACATGTTATTTTTAGTCAAGATGCACTCTATCTCAGCTGTCCTGAACAAACAGCTGAGCTACTAATCCTGCCAACGTGACCAGCCCCTACTCCATGTGTCCTCTCAGATTAGAGATGCATACGTACCTTAACATACAAAATGCATGACTTCAGAGGTGAGCTGCGGCAGGCCAGGGCTGGCTAGAGAAGGGAAAATTTCATTGGAAGAGGCAGCATTTCCTCCAGTGGCTGCCCCTCCTCCTCTTCTTCTGTTTCCCCCCTTTAGCAATGCAGGTACTGCTCAGGCTGTTTACATTGACAAATCAGCCATTTTCTCTGAAGATGGACTCCACACACCGAAGTAACCCTATCCCGACAGCCTCCAAGAGATCCCCTTCCTGTTCTCAGATTGCCTCCTAGGATCTACTCCCCCCGTCTTGCCCTTCCTTGTATTTCACACAACAGAGGCTGCTCTAGGGATGCTGCAAACAGAGATCAGTATGGCAAGCTCCCTCCCCCCTCGCCCTGCAATTGGTCTAATGGCTTCAAAATGACAGATGCGGTTGGCTCCCTGAGCTGTCTATTTGGCTTTGCAGGGGTGAGAATGGGATTTAATGGCTCTGCACACCAGATGCTGTCCGGCCTATGTGAATGACTGCATCCGGGTGGCAGGTCTGAGGAAATTAACCCTATAATGTCTCTCCTCTAATCCTTAATGACCTGAATTTACTCTATAAGAAAAAGACAAAACAATCTCATAGATTTATTTTACTTTAATGTGAAGGATTTGTGCAGTCATTCACAAACATATGTTATTGCAAACATCATCGACTCTTGTTATATCATTTTGTGTAATTCTAACATGTTGACAACAACTGCAGAATATCCTGAATGTCTTCAGCTCATTTTAAACAAGTTCCCAGTCATCATCGCCACAAATTCTGAAAGAGTTCAAATCAGCAGTAAATATCATCATATTTTAATCAATTATATACTAGGGTGTTTGGATTAAAAAAACAATAGCAAACAATATAGTAACTTTTATTTTTTTAATTTTAATGAAGACTTATTTAATTAAATTCTCATTCTTCAATGTAACTATTTACCCATTCAATTTCTAAAAAAAAAAAGCAAAACAGTAAAACAGTACTGTCACAATGTACACCTTGCGTTAACATTATTTTTAACCTAATAAACATTTGTAACGAGTGCCAACCTGTAATTCAGAACATGAATAAATACAATACATTCATACCTTCATAATCGATGGTTCCATCTCCATCTTTATCCGCCTCCTTCATCATCTGCTCGGCCTCAATCTCGTTAAGAGGTTCCCCAGCGTTCATGAGTACGTATCTGGTAAGTCATATGGAACATGAGCATGATAACCAACAAGTTTTCATTTTATTCCTGAATGTGGATTTTAATTTGTGTTGAATAAATAACGTGTCACTGACCAGTGATCCAGTATACAGTAGATCAAATTAAAATAATTAACTTATTCGGTGCACAGCAACTGTTTGTGCTTTTCTTTTCCATCCATTATGTTATTCTTACTTCAGTGTGTTCCAGTCAATATATCCCTTGGCCTCTTTGTCAAATACTTTGAAAGCAGCTCTAAGTTCAGCATCCTGGTTCTTGGTTCTTTCGTGGTACAGTGCCATCAGACCCAGGAAACTGTCACAGTTAAATACCCCTTTACCTGAAATGTCACAAAAACAATAAGTTTAAACACATCATCATTGTTGTGTTGTACACAAAGATATACACCAATCAGACATAATATTACCCCATTACCCTGGTGGTCATAATGTTATGTAGTCCCATACCAACAAACTGTGATGCACTGTGTGTTCTGACACCTTTCTATCAGAACCAGCATTAACTCTTTCAGCAGTTTGAGCTACAGTAGCTCGTCTGTTGGATCGGACCACACGGGCCAGCCTTTCACTCCCCACGTGCATCAATGAGCCTTGGCCGCCCATGACCCTGTTTCCAGTTCACCTCTTTTTCTTCCTTGGACCACCTTTGATAGGTACTGACCTCTGCAGACCGGGAACACCCCACAAGAGCTGCAGATTTGGAGATGCTCTGACCCAGTCGTTTAGCCATCACAATTTGGCCCTTGTCAAAGCTCAAATCCTCACGCTTTCCTGCTTCTAATGTTCACTCGCTGCCTGATATGTCCCACCCACTGACAGGTGCCATGATAACCAGATATTCAGTGTTATTCACTGCATACATATGGTAGCTATATAGAAGAGAAAAACAACAATAATCATAACATACTGTATCTCTACGGTAAAAATAAGTGGAGTCATTTTGTTTCAGGAAAAAAGAGGTAGAGGGGAAGTAGGAAATAGGAAAGGAAATGGCAAACTACATCCTCCAGCATAACGTGTGTGTGTGTGTGTGTGTGTGTGTGTGTGTGTGTGTGTGTGTGTGTGTGGGTGGGTGTGTGTGTGTGTGTGTGTGTGTGGTGGGTGTGTGTGTGTGTGTGTGTGTGTGTGTGTGTGTGTGTGTGTGTGCGGGATGCGCCAACAGTCTTTTTGTAAAGTAAAGCCTGTTATACACAAATCACACATAGTGAAACACTGACACCTAGTGATTATTGTAGTAACCTGCAGTAAAAACAGAATACTGCAGTATTAGATAATAACAGGCTTTTTTATAGTGCATTTTGGAAGATGTTGCTCTTTTAAAAAATTACACTTGGGTTTGCTTTATAAATACTAAATCTAGTGAGATTTGCAATTAAAATCCAGACTCAATTGGGTGCAAAGGGTAATTCAAGTTTGTTTTAAGATTAATTTATCTTAACCTTATCAGAGCAGGTGGAAAACATTCATTTTATCTACCTTCCAGCACTTTAGCTAATGTTAATGGCAAACTTAAGCTAATGTGAATAGCCAGGCTATTATTGCAGAACCTAATTTAGCACTTTAATTACTTACTTGGTTTGGGTTGAGCTTTAGACAGATAAAGCTTCTCCATTCTCACATCCAGACGCAGCTTAGAATACATACAGGCTTGGCTTAAAGGCATTTAATATAATACATCTTATAATGTAACACAGTCAGATACACCACCACTAAGGTCTCAAAAACAAAGGTAAATGAACAGATTTCTAACACACAACAACAAAAATTAAGATCATACGCTTCTAAAAGATACGATTTGTGGCAGGACTCTTGTACTGGATTGCAGTTTATATAAGTTAAATTGTGTGTAAGACCCTAACTACCAATCTATATTATTTTAAACTTAGTAAACATTTCCATAGTATGGGGTTTACAGTCATTGCAGGGTTATAGTCACCATTTTTGTCCACATCTTTGGCCATCTGGCTGAGCTCTCTCTTTGTAGGATTTATTCCCATTAAACTCATCAGTCTCTCCAGCTCCAGGGTCTTCACATCTCCATTTCCCTCTTCGTCAAACATCTCGAAAACTCCTTTGTACTCTGTGATCTGCTCTTCTGTTAACTTGCTGGCCTGGAAGAAAATAAGGGAGTTGCAGTATTTTACAAGTATTGTAATATTAATTACGTCATGTTTAATTTAACAATGTTAATTATTAGAATTGACAAAATGTTTGTATGTAAATGTAGGTTAGTTCCTTTGTTATAAGGTTCTCACCATGTTTCCTTGTAATCCTGAGGACAAGCACTGTGACAACAGTTACAGTAGAATGAGAGGATGTCTGAGCCTTATCATTACTACATTTCTAATGCTCTTTCCCCAGAGCATAGAAGAGCATGCTTCAAGACCTTTTATGGCACTTAAAGGATGGACTTGCTAATCACCCATGAGGAATATTTGGAGACTGATCTCAGCTAACAAATGATATAGTTATATCGGAAAATCACTAGTTTGGTAATGCTGTAATTAGATTAACTATAATGTTATTCTCAAACCAGGGCAAAAAGGGGCTGAAAGACAAGATAACAAAATGTCTGAGTATCAGATGCATTCTCTGACCTCAACATCACATGGTCCACTTATGGGAACTGCAATTAACTTGCTGTTAGCCATTAGCAGGTGTTTGTGCAGCCCCCAGTGACCGTCATGAAAGCAGACAACCAAATAAGGAGGCACTTAACTGCAAGAAGTTATTTCCAACATTGCAATGGGAACATTAAGAATTTCCCATTTGTTAGTCGAGGGGAAGAGCTATGAATCTTTGTGTGCCTCATGCCTCCAATGATACTCTATGTATTCATAGAATTTGAATGAAGATACCGTACCAAGCAAACAAAAAGTAAAGTTAATAAATAAAATGGATATTGTCATGATGCATTTTCACTGAACCACAGATTAAGTCATATAATCAGAACCAGTTATAACAAAAGATTGTTTTAGACATAGTAAAGTTTGGATCAATCGTGTAGAAGAATGAATGAATAAATTAATGAATCAGTTGATATGACCAGATTATATTCATTGGGCTCCCTCTGACCTAAACAAAAAGAAAGTTTACATTATATATAAAAGGGTTTAAAAATTAAATGCTAAAGAGATGTTCTCCTAGGTTTTCCCTGACAATGTTAATTTACATGCCGGTGCTCTGAGAAGTTGTGTATCTACAAAGCAATATTGTTTATGATCAGGGAAAACATGATGGATATACAGTTTTCTTCCTGCATCTTTACAACCCAATTCGTTAGCACGTCACGATCGAATGTTAATATCTAAATTCTACTGACAAGCTATAATGAAGATGACCCTGATGTGATTCCAGGTACCTGGTATAAAAAACATCCTAAGTATTCTTTATGTGGCACGTGGTAAAGATTACTGATACATTTTGTAGAAGAGGGTGGTTGACTAAACTTAAAAAGAAAGCCAAAAAATGACCTTTTGACATAAACAAACTCAAAATCACAATATATATAACAACCATACTATAATTCTATAACTTGCTAGCCTAAATGAACCTTGTGGTGAGATTGCTCTTCATGGTCAGGAATGAACTTTAAAATCTCAGCTTTTTATCTGCATTTGCAAGGATCATGAACCTTTGATCCAGTGTTTGGTGATTCAAGATAGTGTTGGATGTTAGACTTAGACTTAGACTTCACTTTATTGATCCCTTTGGGATGACTCCCGCAGCTTACAAGAACACTTGTATAGAAAATAGAAGAGGTATAAAAAATACAGTATAAGATAAACAATAAACTCTTAGCTAAATATAGAAAGTAAACAATAATAAACAGTAAACAATAAACTCTTAGCTAAATATAGAAAGTAAACAATAATAAACAGTAAACAATAAACTCTTATAGAAAGTAGAGATAAGAATAGAAGTAAAATAAAATTCACGGAAAATAAAATAAAATAAGATAAATGTATAGAACTGTATAGAGGATAAATTTAGATAAATAAAGATAAATATATAGGACTGTATATGGCATTGTGTTATTATACAAATTAAATTATTGCACTTAAGTGGTGGATTAAGTTATTGTACAAAAAAAAGAAGAAGAGTGTCCAGGTATGTATGAGTAGATTATTAATTGCACAGTGAGTGGCTACCACTCCTTCCCTTCTGTACTCTTTACCCTATTTCCTCCTCCCCCCGAGAGAGGAGTTGTAGAGTATGATGACATGAGGGACAAAGGAGTTCTTGAGTCTGTTGGTCCTACACTTGGGAAGGAGCAGCCTTTCACTGAACAGGCTCGGGAGAGCTACTGGAGAGGCAGCCGTCTCCTACAGCGCCAGTAACTAACTGAGGATGGATGGGTAGGCTGGTCTGTGACAGATCAACAGAAGGGTGGGGTGGGTCTGGCACTGTGTCACCTGAGCCTACTTCAAACCCCAGACAGTACATGTAAACACAAATTCAAATTTAAAAGCAAATTTATCAGTTACACATCGCTCAAGTTAAAGCAATTATTTCTTGTACGTATGTTCCGGCGGTCATATGTGGATGCTTCATATATTCACTTGTGTACTGGTTTCCTTAGGACTGGAGTGAAATGCAAAACAAATTAAAGTTAGAGACTCTGAGGGACTTTAATATTCTGCTTTCTGATGTTTTAATAATAGGAGTACTTTTGATTTATTTTTTTAATCAGTGTGTCTGCGCGCAATGACTGTGTGTAACTTAATTGTCTTCATTGTAATGTATCCTATATTAACTGTTCTCAGCTCTCCCTCATAAAAGAGATGTTAATCTCAACAAGACTTCCTGCATTAATAAAACCTAACTGACCACTATTTGTTTGACGTAATGTACTGACTGATTGCAAATATTTGTATGTCTATCCAGCTAATTATTTAACAAATAAAAGCTATTGTTACGGTTACATTTTGTGACATTTCAGGGAAATGAACCAATGTTTTACTGTGCCAGTGTTTTAGAACTGCACCACAAATTAACCAACAACTTGTTAGGCACTAAAATAAGAGGTGCTTTTGAAAGAGTTCAAAAGGATATGTGGAATTATACTGGCACATGCTTAATATATATTAATATGTCCCTCTTTAAATCCCTCTTTCCATTATTTGTATAGTGAATCTACCTATAGAGGCTACCTGAGAAACACAGTAGAGCACACTACACACAGTGCCATCAGAACACACGCTTTCCTAATTAGCTACAGCCAGATTGTGTTGTTGACACTGCTATTATTAGCTATCTACAGAGAGAGAGAGAGAGAAAGAGAGACAGAGAGAGAGAGAGCCCTGCAGAAATCATTAATACCACTTCCTACTTTTGGAGCCAAGTTGGGGCCCGACTGACTAACTGACTCAGCCTTTCAGTTAAGACTGGTTTGCAGGAAAGAAGAAAAGAAAAGAAAAAAAAACAACACCAACACCAAAGAAACGAACACCGTGTTCTCTTGGCTTTCGACCCACTCTAATGAAATCCACATGTACAACAATGAGCAGTACTAATCATTGCTCAAAGTGATTGATAACACTAGCGTCTCTAGCTGTAGTTAGATAAACACCAACCGAAGGTTCCCCAACCGTCGCTGCTGCAGCGTGGGGTTTCCCAGCGCTGACTGCAGGGTTACCGCGCCCATCTCGTCGTTCGATGGCCGGACGAGAGTGTTGCTACGGAAAGGGCAGATGTTAATCTTGGCAACAGGGAGACAGTAGGCTGTCTTTTTGAATGAGGTATAGTGACTTTAAAGATTAGCTTTTTTTTTTTTTTTTTTGTCTGCCTGGGCAGTGTCTTCTAGTACAAGGCTAGTGGGTGTGATTCCCCCCCCCACACACACACACACCTCTCCCCTCCCCTCTCCGGTTGGTTGACTGAGGTTGTCGAGCTCCTCGCCGTCGCCTGCGTTCGGGAACGGCTGCTCCTCGGAAAACTAACGTTAGCAGGCTAGCTAGTTAGTAAGCTAGCGTTAGTGGCGCTCGTTGATGCGTGGATCGGAGGTGTACGCCGTCTTGTTTTCCAGTCAATGCCAAAACGCAAAAACAAACGCGAATTGAATCAGGTAAGGTGAAATAAAACGACGATCATGCTACTTCCACATCTTTCTCAGTGACTGTTAATAGCATTGGCTAATGAATTGTGGCGGAATTGAGCTGTCCGGGGGTGGGGTAGCGATAGCTAGCGTTACCCTCGTAGCCATTTAGTTAGCTGCGGTTAGCTAACGTTAAGTTGGATATTTTATTATAAGCACACACAAGCAGCGGAGGCACAGGGGTGTCTGCAGCGGTGGATCCTGGCGCTCACTATTTACGGCTAATAGGCAAATTGCTACAAAAGTTATCTCCACGTCTAACTGGTTGTCGTCCAGTGAATTGAGATAACCACTGTTAGTGTTAGCCCCTGGCTGCCGGTGGACTGGCGGTAATGTTGGCCGGTGAGGCTGGGTGTCAGTGATGGCCCAGCGGTGGTGCTTCTTGGCCTAAAATACAGTACTTATAAAAAAAACAAAACTGTGTAGTTTACAGCCAAAATACATCGAGAGACAACTGTGGTGGTAATGTTAGCACCCTCAGCTTAATGGTTAACTAGTACTTTGCTTTGTGGTCGAAATGTCACATTAAAAGATGTTGGTGTCATTTGATGATGACACACTGGGTTGGGCTCGAACAATAAACGTCCCGTAAACAAATTAACAGCGAATATTGGTTATTGGCGATACAAGGGCAGTGAGCATGAGTACTGAGCTCGGAAACTGCATACAAATATATATATAGTTATATTTACAACAGCCTCGCTTTATTACCGTGAGTTATTGTGGCCGCGTTAACACCCTATTTTTTTTTTTTTTCTCTTCTATACAAGCCGAACTAATAAGTTAGCACATCGCTGCCTTCCTGCAACGAAACGACCGCGCCGGTGCAACGCCTTTAACTTGGGTTAGTAACGATAGTTATTTACCGCAAGTTAACTATCTGGCGCTTATGCAGCTATGGATGATAGCCGGTCATCTACTTTATGAAAAATCACCCGCATCTGTTATTGCATTTCTTGCTTATAGTGAAGTCAAACAGGCCATCGCCGCCCGACCTTGCAGCTTTTACAGGCTCAGGTCCATTACAGGATCCGAGAACCAAATAAATATACTGATACACCGTAATCAAATCAACCGTGCACTGTCGGCTTTAACGAGATTGTTAGTATGTAAGTAAGTGGATTTCTGGAGGCCAAGCAGCCACCGAGTTTCTAGGTTTACCCACTGTGTTGGCTCAAAAGCTAGCTACATAGCACTCCATGTAATTGCGGAAGAGCTGCTGAGTCTACCCGTGAGTGGCTGTGGTTACGGGGGGTTTTTATTTTTTGGCATTAAAAGCTTCTAGTTTGATTTGGTTTATCTACCATGACATTCAGCGAGTCTTGCGTTAGATCACCTTTGCTCGTTTACCGGGCATTGTTAAATCACAAGTGAAATTGTTGCTGATTTAAGAGAGTACATTGCTTTCTTGAACACTAGCTCTGCCCTGCCTGCAGGCCTACACTGTCAAGCCTGCTAGCAAGCTAACTAGCGGACAGCTAGTCTGCAAGATGGCGTTTAGCTGCATCTTCTCAGATTTCCATCAGTGCAAGTCATATTATCATTATATTGTGCAGCGTTGAATAAATGTAGAGTTTTTATTACACATAGTCAGATACTAATAACTCTAATCCTTGGTATTTTGCTACATTATGGTGCTGAATTGCAACAAATGTTCTTCTAAAATGTATGCAGAGTCTCGGTAGCCCAACCCCAACAAACTGACTAAAGCAGCTATCCAGCAGCTATTCAAATACAATGCAAACTAGACTACTGTTGTAGGCAAATCACAGTACTGCACACAGTGACTAAGTCAGCTATCAGTATGCTACATACCGTGGTAAACCAGTGCACAGACTGCACTTATACAAATATACATGCTAGTTGTATTTAGTCTATTGCTTTCTAATATCTGCTGTAGCTTCATTTCTGTTACTATAAAGTGTGCCACTTGTGTATGTAATTCTTCACTCGTCGAAAATGTAACTTCATCTTCGTTTATTAAAGCAAGAGAGGTACTGATTGTACAGTATCTGGTCACACTGGACAACACAGAGAGAGAGAGAGAGAGAGAGAGAGAGAGAGAGGGGCTGTATTAGGATTGTGATTTCACTGGCAGTGTGAAAATCCAGGCACTTGCTTTAAGCATGTTGTGTGTAAAAGAATTAAGATTAAACTCATCCTTTTATGATTAGGAAAACACATTTCTAATGCTTGGGCTAGCTTTGCCAGCTGTTTATGTTAGTGGACATGGATAGGATTAGAGACTCATTGAATGAGGATTTTAGCTTTTAGGATTACGGAGTTGTTCAGTGATATTGCTGGTTAGGGCCTTTTCTATGATCCAGCTTTAAACCTGTGAAACATTGCATTATCATCGTCTAACAGTACAGATAAGCTGACTCGTCCTTTGAGAACAGATGTAAACTATCGCAGAGAAAGATGCTTTTTTTAAAACTGGAAATGTAGGAGACACCTTTTTGAAAGTGGCAGGCACATACTGCCCTTAAGGGACCTGAGCACAGCTAGTGAGCTACAACTCCAGGCTGTTTGCCACTGCTCATTGTTTATCATGCAGTCAGCTGACCCTGATCAGGCGCTTGGAAAGGAGAAGTGATGAGGGAGAGGAACTCCTTAACTGTAAGCATCCACAGAGGTCAATGGGAAATAAGATTTCTTAATGTGGAATATTTAAAAGATAGATCTATACTCCAGGCCATCCCACCTCTTGATTTACTTTTGTATTTTAAATGTTTGGCATATAAACAGCCGAGAATGAAAATTAATTGCAACTTGTAATTATTTGTTTGAAAACAAAGTGTTTGTGAATGTGATACATCACTGAAGAGTATTTCAGATTGCTAACTATTCATTAGTTCATTTAGCAGTGACAGGACCCTGTCAAGTTGAACTCAAAAGCCTTTAATTTGGTTAATCATAACTGTAACCGAATGCTTAATAATAACTTAAGGGTACAATTTAGATTTTGTTAATAAATCATTATCAAAATATACGTATAAAATGACACAAGTACAGTGTTTTAGAGTGCTTTTTGACTGTTCATGACTACCTGTTAATACCGTATTTAGGGATAGAAAACACAAGATATTAATCAAACACTACTGTGGGCATCATTAAACGGATCTGAAAATATAATTCAGCACAACTGATTCAACTTGTATTTAATTTTCTCACATAAAAAAATATTGATCAATTTGAGAAAAGTTGAGACCATTGTTAAAATATGAACTGTATTTATAGAGATTTTCAAGGTGAGGATGGCATTCTGCTGTCACTTGATGATACTGCATAATAATTACATTCCATGACACATTTATTTATGGATTAAGGAGTATAAGAGGATAACCTGTGGGTTAAAAAGGTCAACCAATCAGAGGACCTAAAGGATAACATAGGCAGGTAGAGAAGATTTTCAGTCTTGTCCTGAAACTCCAGTCACATATAGGCCTACTGACTGAAATACACCAGGTAAGGTAACTGAATGGAGCAATGCTATTTCTCTGCGTTAAATCTGAAATAGATTTTAGTTTTATTTAGTCAAAGTTCATCGGATGTGCTAACGATTATTATTTTTTATACGGTAATGTTGCAGTTTCATGTATTATGCAAACCTCTGTTATAATGTTTGTTTTTTTCAAGATACCAGTTGGCAATTATCTCTCATAGAAGGCAACTTGCACAGACTATAAATGATGAGAGTTGCTATGTACTTAAAAATACAAAAAAAAATGCTTTCTGATAGTAATCTTCCAATGTCAGGTAAAATGTCTTTAGAAAGTAGCCCTTTGGAAGTCATTTTTTAAAAGTGTGTAACACTTAATCTGTAGAAAATCGTAGTCTAATTGATACTGTGTTATGTCAAAATTATGTGTGCATATTACATTTTTGTTGGCTAGCCAGTTTTCGGGGTGAAATTATATTGTCTAATTTGGTACCACAAAAATTTGGTATAATTTTTTAAACCTACACACACAAATAAATAAATTAATAAATTAATAAATAAATATTACTATATTTGGCCCTAATGTACTTCTGTTCGACACGTTTGAATAATTAATTAGATGGATCTGAGCACAAGGGAATTCATTTTCCAAGGTAACTGGAGTTTATCAATCAATAACTATTTCACAAACTAATACTCCAACTATTGTAAGTTTCTTTGGATAAAAGTGTCAGCTGAATTAATATAACGTAACTACGGACCTTATTCAAAATGAGACAGTACATTCATTAAGCTATTCACAAATGCTGCATACTGTCATGCTTTAAAAACTGCTATTATTGCTTTAAATAAATAGACTTGGACTTTGCATGTGTCATCAAACAGTTGGATTGCCATTTGTGTCACAGTTGCTGCATGAATGGACAGATATAACATTTTTTATCAGCAGTGTAACCAAAATTAGAAGTACTTATTGTGATACCGCAGTCTTTGTTAAGTATTTGCTGTCTTTTTTTCTGGCTTCCCTAAAGCGACAACTTGAAAGAATGCATTCATTTGGTTTGATAAATGAAACTGGATGTATTTCAAGATATGGTTCTTATATTTGTAGCATTTGGCTCATGACATTTTACG